CGCGATAATGAGGGCTCTAATAGGCTGTATGGATAATTTCTTTGAAATGCTGTTGTTTTTTTTTTACACCCGAAATTGTTCCCGAAAAATGTGAACACAAGGGATTTTTAAGACAAATTTAATAGGCACACGAATTGTAGGCCTTAAGGCGTATCTCGCATCTTTATGTGTTTTTTTAACTGATTTTTATTTTGAGAAACGAATTGTGACACGCGGTTTTACTCTGTTGGAGATATTCAGTGGATATAATAATCTCAGAACAATTCACACAGCGCCATTTAGATCCAATTTAAGATAACTAAAGCTTGTGTTATGGATAACTAACTAAGATAACTGATACATACATATTTATTTTCGTATATATAATAATAATAATAATAATCTCAGGACAATTCACACAGCGCCATCTAGATCCAAGTTAAGCTAGCTAAAGCTTGTGTTATGGGTACTAGATAACTGATACATATACATATAAATACATACATGTATATATATACAAACAATCATTACAAATGTTTGTACCGTGCGAGGAATAGGTCGTAAAGCGGTGTGCTTGACCAAGACCACCGAGGTCGTCAAATATATACATATTATACATAGAAAACACCGAGGCCGGTACAAACAATAATTCTAATGAATACAAATATTTGTGCAGTACGCGGAATCGAACCTGCGACCATCGGAAGTAAGCTAAACCGCTAGACCACCGAGGCCGTTATGGCCTATTAATGAATCTAAATTATAATGAATCATGTTGTTAAATTAACGATTAATTTATTTATATATTATATATAGATAATAAATTTATATGGCAAAACAACATTTGCCAGGTCTGATAGTCTTTTTAAATATATATAACTCAAAGGTGACTGACATAGTGATCTATCAACGGACAGGCCAGACCACTGGACGGATCGGGCTGAGACTTTGCTTGCATAAAGCTACTATGACGTAGTCATCCCCTAAGAAAGGATTTTTATAAATTCCATCCCTAAAGGGACAAATTAAACCGAGCGAAACCGCGAGCAAAAGCTAGTGCTATATAAAATTCTCACTTACACAACACTTGGCAGCTTTTTAAATATGTGCTAAGACTATAAACTATCGAGATCAAATTTAGATTAGCATTTTGTAACTTTGTTATACCTATCTGGTAAAGTTCCATACGTTTCCATGGTCATTGGTATAATTGGTCATAAAATTATTAATTACTGGTGATACAAACTAAGCAACGAGACAAAGTGATTACTATATAGTATTTTTAACGGCCTAGTGGGTGAATTTTCTGCTCATTTTGTCATTCTCCATTGACCAACGTAAACCATTAGCGCAGGAGGGTACATTATTCCATTATCATCCAATAAAAAACTCTACGTCTAATCCTGTATGTATATTATACATAAAAATGTATTTGAATTTAGAACACAATTTAATAAGAGTATTATCATCATCATCATCATCTTCAGCCCACTGCAGCCCACTGCTGGACATAGGCCTTTCCCAAGGTATGCCATTGGGCACGATGCTCAGACCTTCTTGTCCAATCTTTACGTTGGTCCATCTAGTTACGGGGCATTATACGCTACATTTGCCTATAGTATATTTAGAACATAATATGCGCATTTATATAATCATTAGTACAGTTAATTATATATCGATTATACTGTATTCAACTTTTCTGCTAAGTCGCTTAAAAGTCAATTTATTTTTCAATCAACATGAAATAATGGCTACCCTACGCCTAGCTAGGCGTTAAATTTCCGTCCCCTCAGATCCGGAGGGAGGAAATGTTTGTAGTCTGAAGATGTTTCAGCATTACACAATAGTACACTGAAGAATTTAAAAGTAAATACTTTAATGTTAAAATTAAATGAATCACTGATGTGTGGTGTGATAAGGTTGAATACATTAGAGGTAGTATGAAAGTGGCGCCGGTGTCGGAAAAGTTGAAGAGTAATCGTCTGTCATGGTATGGACATGTAAGGCAGAGAATATTTTAAAGAAAGTATTGTATATATGGATGGTAAGGCTGGAAAAGAGACGGATGGACTGTCTGATAGAGAATATGGCAAGAAAGGGAGTAAATAACGAGCTGACTGCGTACAGAAATGAATGTAAGAGAATAACATATCGACCCCGAATGAATTGAGTAAGGAAGATTAGGATGAAAATTAAATGAATGACCTCACCGCACGGGTGCATATATTATATATATAAACCTTCCTCTTGAATCACTCTATCTATTGCTCAGAACTGCATTAAAATTAAGCACTAAAAAGGCAGCGGAAACACTTCATTCATCATATACTATGTAAAAATAATATTCAAAACGCACGATGTGCTTCTAAAGTGACGAAATGCCCTAAATCTTATTAACGGGGAGCGGCTTTCCAATTACCGGGAGTTAATCGAAAATTTAAAATCAACGCACGCCGAATTATCATTTCATCTTCTTTCTTCAATTGAAATGGTTTCCGGCAGTCGGCAGTTGATGATTTTGAATGTTATAGATGTACAAATTCATTCTTTCTTCAGATTCAGTCTCATTCTCATTTCAACATCATTCTTTTTCTATAAGAAACACAAGGGACAAACGAGCATGTGGTTCACCTGATGCACCAACATCAGGGGAATTGTAAGTACGTTGTCGGCCTTTTAAAAAGGAATGAGCTCTTTTCTTGAAGGTTATTGAAATCTATGGGTTCGGAAATATCATTGCTAGAAGGTGATTCTATAACAAAAAGTTTCTAGAAATCCGCACTGTGGAGGACCGCCTTTCATCCAAATGATCAGGATAAAAAAGTGAGGTAATTATTTATTTTATAATATTACAAACTGAAATCTATGATATTATATATTTGAAACCAATTTGTGTGCTCGCAAAAGTTTTGTAGTTTTTATTTTAATACACAGCTATGTTGCATGTTTACTAAGGGAGCCGGAGCCGGAGCTGACTCTCCTAAACACAGTTTATTGTGTTATATACCTATCTGAAAGGCCACTTTACCTACCCTCTTTACGGTCTGTATATCATTACATAGTATAAAGCAAAGTCGCTGTCGCTGTCTGTCTGTCTCTATGTATGACGACGGATTTTGAAGCGGTTTTTTTTAATTGATAGAGTGATTCAAGAGGAAGGATTACATGTATAATATATGTACATCCGTGGCGAGTAGCTAGTTTTAATATAAGTTTTATTTTAAAATGAACTGTAACTAGTTAGTACTTAGTGTCTTTTTGGATCAATAAAATTACATACATTACATTACGTTTTATACTAAGTAATGATAATACTATTGAATAAAAATCTAGTTTTACCTATACAATGTGAAACTGAATAAGTTTTTAAATCAATTGGTGATTTTTAAATAATTATACTGATTGAAGTCTCCTACTATGTGTAATTATTCTAACTATATTTTAGGAACTACAGACATTTTCTTCTAGTACTTTTACAGGTACGTGAGAAGTTAAGTTTAGTGACATAAAAATATTCAGATTTGCAGTTGCATGTTAATGCCTTAAATGATCTACGGATTTAGATAAGAGATGGAAGCGAAAGACGAGATGATACCTCGACTTCTTCCGTTTTGGCACGAGTGACATCCACGGCTGCTCAGATAAACGCTTGGCACGAGAATATACGGTGCAGCATTTATTATTTAAGATGAGTTATGGGTTTATATTTATAACTAGCGGAGCACGTTACTTTGTATGCGTTTAACTTTTTTATTTATAAACGTATTGGAATAAAACAAATATACAATTTTAGATCAAGCTTCCCACAATATACTAGTGGAAACCAAACTCAAATAGGTTAAGCCGTTTTTGAGATAAATAGGCATTAATTCTAAAATTTATCATATTGGGTTCTATATATGCTACACTTTGCTATTTCCATATTACGAGAAATTAAAAAAACAACATCTGCCTTCGCTGCGACGATCAAACATGTATTTTTTTTAAATAAAAACATAATATCTTATTTGTTGATAATTCAGCTTTTAATAGGTGAGAGAATATAAAATCGCTTACGTACTTTTATATTAAATTTGTTATCGGAATTCCCATCACCGGAAGATCTTTTTTTTTTTTAATAGTTGAATTTGAATATGGATTTATATACATGTGTATTCTAATGGTATACACTATCAGAGCACTAGTGGAGAATGTTAGTCGGAAATATAAATTGACACAAAAGGTTCATTGGTGATAGCCAAATTCGAAGTCATGACCATTAGTGTCTGAGTCGGAATAATAAACAACTACACCACGGTGTTTTTACCTACCTAATCAATATCAATACAGCAATATCGAGGGTCTAATAGAAAAAAATGCGGTGCTCACTTATTCACTGGTAATGTTGCCTCGGGGCGTACGAACCTACATAACACCTCCATTTCTAGATTTTATAACCACATTATCTTTTGCGGTCGCGTAATCTTGTAAAATAAATTGAATTTTCAACGACAACGTACAACTTTCAAAACTTCACAAAGGTGTTTGGCATACCGCCTTATTACCGATGTTCACAGGTTCGATTCTTCATGCGGTACAAACATTTGTATTCATTAATATGATTATTTGTATCTATGTATATATTTAAGTATTTGAGATAATTTTCCTGTACCTATAACACAAGATCTAGTTAGATTGGGACTAGATGGCGTTGTGTTAATTATCCACAATTATTATCATTCACTAAGTTGATGTTACACTAATAGAAGAATTAGCAACTGAATTATACCAGATCTAAGCGGCAGCCCTGAAATAATGGTTTATTTCTGGTGAATTCTCCTTTGGGCTGACCCTGGCTGAATTAGTCTGGCCTGAATTCATGCTCATCCCATCATCCCCCACAGGTGCCCCGCCAGCTTATATCATCAGCACCAGAGCGTATACCGTTCCATCATCAATAAAAAAACAGTGTAGTATATATTACAGAATGTAGAGAAAATAATAGAAAAACCAATTATTTCATAAATATTTTAATATCATAGTTTTATTAAGCTATTAATTACAAAAATTATTATACACAACGTTGTCTATGTATTACATAGATAACTTACTTTAACTACAAAGTCTTTGGTTTTTTATACATAAATAATTTTATAAACTAGTGGTCGCCTAATGGTCGAAAATCAACCATAATAATTAATAATTTTGAACATTATTAAGGTACTATTGTCACAAATTTACTTATCTATACATATAAAAAAAATTGGAGTGTCTGTTTGTAATATTAAAATAACCGTTTTTTACTACAAGCATATGAATATAAATACGGTACATACACCAAAATAAGATTTTTTACAATTTTTGTCTGTCTGTCTGTTTGTTACGGCTAAACTCGGAAATGGTTGGACCGATTTTGACGGGACCTTTTTTGGCAGGTAGCTGATGTAATAAGGAGTAACTTAGACTACTTTTATTTTAGAAAAATAAAGTTAAATTCCACGCAGACGACGTTGCGGGAACAGCTAGTTTATAATATACGTATAGATTACTAGATAATCCGAGATTAAATTAATTTGGTCTAAAATTTGACGGCCTCGGTGGTCTAGCGGTTTAGACAGTGTCTTCCGAAGGGCGCGGATTCAATTCCTTGCACAGTACAAACATTTGTATTCGGGAGTATGATTATTTGTATTGGTCTGTTTCCTATGTCTATTATATATGAATTTACTAAAAAAAATGTATGTATTTATATAAATTGTCTAATACCCATAACACAAGATTTACTTAGGGTCTAGATGGCGCTGTGTGGATTATCCTAGGTTGATATAATTTAAGAGTATCTCTCTATTGAACTCCACTCAGTTTATATTTAATCTGAGTCTAATTCAATTGAATCGTCCGAATCTTTTTCTTGTGTTGCTGAGTTCCCTGAGACACTCGGTTCTGGTTGGGACGCAGTTTCTTCTAGAAGCTTCTGTAATTCCTCCTTTTGTCTTCTTTTGAAAAATCCTAACTGTAATTTCAAAGAAAAGCAACATAAGCTGAACAGTCAATAAGGTAAGTAGTCGCTTGGCAGCTTGCTTAATAAAATGTATTTCAATAAACGTTATGATTTGACGACCTCGGTGGTCTAGCGGTCTAGCACACCGCTTTACGACCATTGGTCGCGGGTTCGATTCCTCGCACGGCACAAACAATTTGTATTCATGAGTATGATTGTTTGTATCGGTCTGGGTGTTTTCTATCTATAATATGTATGTATTTACAAAAAAAAAAACTATGTATATATGTATCAGTTATCTAGTACCCATAACACAAGCTTTAACTAGCTTAACTTGGGTCTAGATGGCGCTGTGTGAATTGTCCTGAGATTATTATTATTATTATTATAGATTAGTCAGTCAAATTACTGTGCCATGACGTTGTAGTCCTCCCGGAAGGCATCACGAGCATCTCATGATAACGTGATGCCTTGCTGCTGTTCATGCACATAATCGAGGGTCATAACTTACCATCAGGTGGACTGTCAGTTTATTCCTCAATCTAATTACAAAAAGATCTATAATTTTATGTAATAGATAGATTTACTAGCTCTGCCTACGGTTTCACCCGCGTAAACGTTATAGCCTACTAGCTAGCTACACGCCCCGGTTTTGTACGAGAGTACATATATTATATATATAAACCTTTCACTTTAATCACTCTATTCTCTATTGTAAAAATCCGTTGCGTCGTTTAAAAGATATAAGCGAACAGACAGCGGAATCGACTTCATTTTATACTATGTAATTATAAAGATATATTATTCTGATTATAAGCTATATTATAGTAAAATTTCATTAAAATATATTCAGTAGTTTTGGCGTGAAAAAGTAACAAACGTTACCCTACCACCCTTGTAGTTCCACCACTTCGTAGAACTATACTCGGTGCTAGTTCTCCTAGACTGTATAACAATTTACTCCAAGACTGAGTAAATTGTTGAACGAATATACTGACATCATAGACATCCACTTTGACGCAATCAGTGCATATCAAATATATACGACCATTTAATAGCTCCATCGGAGCCGTGAAAAAAATATATTTTATTATTATTTTAATATTAAACACTCACACACAAAAACATACATACTCACATACACACACACACGCACACATATACATGTATACCCACGTATTAGAATAGATAATAAACATACTCATAATAAAAAAACAGTTAATTTAAGATTTTTGTTATATAACTTTTGTATATTATTTTGCATGCCATGTTCGCCTATAAATAATTGTGAAAATAGACCATAATTCATTACATATAATTAACGAAATTATATGATTGCAACAATTGTTGGTGAATCTAAATAAAAAAAAACATGCACCCATACATCTATCCGCACTCACAAACTTGCGTTTATAACAATAGTAAAATTCTTACCATGTACATAATAATTGTGACTACAACCAGAATTAGTAACCCGCCGATTACACCTGCTATCAGCGGCCAAATAGGCCACACAGGTTCCAACACGATACAAGTGGTAACAGCTGCCATCCTATTAAAAAAAAATCTTATACAGTTACCACTTTCTACAGGTGGCCAATTGGCTTGTTCACCATTCCATAAAAAAATAAAAAATATTAGAAGTCTTATGTGAGGTCTTTAGGTATTGTTTAAACATATTAATATAGATTATTTAATTGACTCAGTGCTAATTGGTAGTTTGTATTCACACACTTCAACTTAAAAATGTAAAGTAACAATAAAAACATTTAAAAGAGCAACACGCAAGTTTCTTGTTCGTTCTTCTTGTAATGAGACAGCTTTCCGAATGAGCGGTAGATTAAAAAATAAAAGTGATGACTATTCAAAAGTACTTCAATGTAAGTTTATTTGTATAAATGATTTTCTATTCTATTCTATTCTAGAACTACAGATGTTACCATACATATATATATATATATACATATAGTGAACTGGACGATAGGGAAAAAATATTAATATAAAAAAACTTGACGTTTCTAAGTAGCTAAAGTGTCCTGTATGAATGATTTGATTTGATTTAACTGTTTCTGACTCTCACTTAGAATAGACGTTAAGGGACACAGTCACCTAGATACATAAAATAATAATTGCATTTAATAATGTCTAGTAAGACAAATTCAAAATTGTCTACTAGGCACTGCTGTATCTAAACTGTGTCACCCCACCTTACAATTTCCTATTTTTATTTCGTATATAAGATCATTATTTCTATGTACACATTGTCAGTTTATCATCATCTGTAATATACATCGTCTCGACCAACAACATCCTATTATTCACCCGCAACAGACCTCAATAGAATAATCCTGGAAATAGGATAAGAAATGAAATTGAAGTACTTACTTGTATTCATCTTCTGTTTTCAACTCAAATTTAGAAGTCACGTTGATAGTGATGTTCGTTTCCAATAATTTTCCTGAAATAAACGAATTTATTTATTAGTCCAGACTGGAAATATGCGTTCAGGGAATGAAATTTGTACTAACAATCCCTTTTTTCGGTCTACTCTAATGTTATTGGCCGCACCTAGCCTTTACAGCTTCACCGGATGACCGGGCGAGTGCAGGCCCACAGAAAAACTTATGAAAAAACTGTATGGTTATGAAAAGAGAGTCAAACAGAACAAAGAGGACAATTTCACATTTGTAACATTAATATCAGTATATAGTAACATTTTATTTTATTTCATGTCATTAAAATTCATAAAGCGCCTGTATGATAGTTGGACATCCAGCAAAAATTCATTTCATTTCATTAAACTTCAATTAGAGCTTGTATAATTTTAAAAACAGCCACCAACATAACTGCATTGTTAAACTATGGGTAAGTAATTCTAGTTTTAATTCAATTAAAGCGAGGGCTCGAATGAATGGAAGAGTTTTACTTAATTGGAAACTCGAATATGGTAGAATTAAAGCATTCAGCAAGTTTTACCTGAATTTCAGTTTTAAATAAGTGCTTTAGTTAACTAAAAAAGTGTACCAATGAATACGGAAGCTATTAGTGAATTACTGGCAACTAAATCTTCTTCTTCTTCTTCTTATCTGATACGTTCTTGACAGAATGCTAATGGTTATTATGTAGTGGAATATGAGGTTGATGTCATCCGCCATACGACAGCTAGCCATTTGTCTCTACTGGCTGCCATTCTAGTATACTCGTGGAATACCAGAACCATTGCTATAGGGAACTCTAATTTCGTTTGTACTTTTATAATATTACTGTTTGTCGCGGTGTCGCCTACGTGAATTTACAACCTATCTAATGTTAAGAAAAATAGTATTCATATACATGAAATCTAATATTTTCTCTTCATAACATTAGCTACCTTTAAATATGTAAATTTGTGTATGTTTTGTATGTATATTTTATTTTATTTACATAAGTGTATACAATTTTTATGTTTCCACTAATGCGCCACCCACTCTATTTTTTTTTTTTTTTGTAAATACTCTCTTTCCAAAGGTTGTCTGTAAGAGATTACATTAGCGATAAGATTGCCTTTTGTACTTAGTTTTTTTTTTTTCTTTTAATTTGTTCATGTTTTTTATATGTTGGTGCAATAAAGTGTTATAATAATAATAATACCTTTACACGAAGCATTATTTTTCGCGGGATCAAAAACATTTATAAATTATCTGTAACTCTATAATTAAGTTTTTGCTCAATAGTCGGACGTCCGCCATTTTGCAATGATAATTAATTATTATAAAAAGGCGCTAAAGTACGCACGACTGAAGGAAGCGGGAATGCGCACACTGGCGGCACGCGCAGTCTTTCTCATCTCTTTTTTTTTCTACATTTACACGCACATTATTTTCTGCGTGAAAGTCGATTTGCGCGTGAAAAAGCGTATGTGTAAAGGCAGATAATAAGTTGTATGTAAGTTTACATATTAAATATACTAACCAAATCGACTTAAATCGTAGTGTAGTAGCATGTAGAATGTTTTTGTATGTTTAGCATATACAGTCCAAGTACAATCAAGACGCTGATGGTTTGGAGTACATCCAGCCACTGGGACTGATACGCTTAACTGAAACAAAGGCCATATTTTATTTCATGTATTCACTAATATAACAATATAAATAATATATTTTATTGAATTAGGTTTTATAAAAAAATCTTTACCGGTTCCGATAAACTTATTGAAGCGGTCAAATTATGCCAGTCGGATGGTCCCAGATTTGTAACCTAAAAATTTAAAATTATCAAATGTACAAATATCAAACTATTTGCATCCTGTTATGCTGCTCACGTTAATTATAGTCTGTGATACATGCTACTAATGTAGCTATTAATAATGTAGCTCTTAAAACAATTATTCCAAATATGTGATAATTACTATTGTTAAGGTTTAAGTAGATTATAATCAGTGAAACAATAGTGTTTGCTTCAACGCCAATAGATGGCGCTGTAACAAAATTGAAACGCGCTAATGTTTCGTTTTATTGATTTTTCATATGTTATTTGTAATATTTTTGTAGCTGTACCTGTATTTGAAACCGTACCGTACGTAATAAACATAGTACCGTTAGGGCCTTGTGGTTTTAACAACTATAAAGTAACAAAGTATGATATTAAATCAAATCTAAGCCCTAACTTATAATAATAAATAAACATTTTACCTCGTATGAATATATGAGTGTAAAGTTCTTTGCATCTTTTAATTGTTCTCGTGATACAAATATGGTAGCATTTGATAACGATTTTCTGTAATAGAAATATTCGCAGATATATATTGCATTATACTTACGAATATTAATTTATAATATTAAGTAGCGAAATAACTCTCTCTGTCTGTCTATCTTGCTATAATGCAAAAACTACTAAACCGATTTAAATAAAATTTGATACACATATAGTCTAGACCCTGAGAAAAGAGGCTACTGTTTAATGCGAAAAAAAAGGTTGTAAAGGAAAATTTGTACAGAATTATTGTGATTTTTAAAGCCAGAAGTTTGAAACTTATTTTGTAGGCGGTTCATTCAAAGTTTGTTACAATTTTACCCTTAAGGGGGTAAAATAAAATTGAGAATGAAAGGTTGTATGAAAATTCGTCATTAATCGTCTATACCACGCCGAAGAGTCGTGTGCACAGCTAGTATTAAATAAATTCTGGTTAGATAATGTAGTTGGATTTTGACATCTGTACATTATAAATAAGCGGGCTATGTGTTACCATATGCGAGGGCTAAAATCACGCCATACTGCAATTTCACTGCAGGTCACTTTTATTTTATTGCAGTTTCACTTGTAATATACAATAAATATATATATGTTACGATAAATAAACGTTAAACGCGGGGATGCGCAATCTGTCGGCGCGTGCGGCTACCATGTTCTCTTAGTCTACATTTACATTCACTTAATTCTTGTGTAAAAGCCGATTTGCGCGTGATATAGCGTACGTGCAAAGGCAGGAATTGTTAACGTTTATTTCCTGCGTAAAGCCGATTCGCGCGTGTAAAAGCGTATGTGTAAAGGCGAGAATTGTTATCGTTTATTTCCTGCGTAAACCCGATTTGCACGTGAAAAAGCGTACATATAAAGGCAGCTATTATTATCATAGATACATACCCAGTAACTGCAAACTTAGCTTTTGGAGTTATAGTCAGAGTTAATTCCTGAAGAGCTCCTTCTGTTACATTTTCTCTATATAATGGTTCTTTCAATTCTGCTAATAATTTCATTTCATTAGGCTGGTCGTATTCATATTGCAACTCTATCTCATATACCACAGACTCGTTTCTGTGCAACGGCGCTGGTAAATTGCAGGTCATGTTCAATTTCTTCAGGTTACAAGAGCGAGGCACTCTTATGGGAGTTAGAGGCAACATCAGCTGCAGTTTTGCACCATAAGCTGGTTCTTCTTCATTAATAATTGTTATTTTTGCACCCAGTTTCATATTTGTACCAGGAATGTATGGACTAAAAAACATTTTTTATGTACATACTTGAATAATTTCTTATATCTTAGGATCGTCGTAATGTTATATATAGTAGATAATATAGTAAACTACAGGGTTCAATATATTATCCCGACTATAGGTAAAAAATGTGAATTCCAATTTGGCATACAACTTAAATATGTAAATTTATATTTATAACTTTCTCTCGGATAATGGCAACATTGTTAACAAATATAATAATATCTCTGAACAATCGAAACAACGCGATATAGTCCCATGCTAAGCAGATCGTGTTTTATGGGTACTAGATAAAACTGATAGAAATACTTAAATACATTTTTTAAATACATACATAATATGTATAGAAAACACACAGACTGATACAAACAATCGTAATCATGAATACAAATGTTTGTACCGTGCGAGGAATCGAACCCGCGATCATTTGAAGTAAACCGGTGTGCTAAACCACTAGACTACTGAGACCGTCAAGACCTATTATTATATGGCTCACCTATCCATCGGTTCTACTCTCATCTTCAACAATGGCGTACAAATCAAATCCTTTCCACAATCTCCAATCATCTGGGCAAGAAATGACGTCTCTAGTTTTGAATCCTCTGATAATCTTGTAAAATCTAAATACGGACACAAAATAGAAATACTTTATTTAAAAAAGCAACACGCACGTTAGTTTCCCGTTCTTCTTGTGATAAGTCGTGCGTTCCGAATGAGTGGTAGAATAAAAAAATATGACTATTCAAAAGTGCTCACATAACGTTTATTTGAATAAAGATTATTTCTATTTTTATATTTATACATTCTTATAGTAAGGATGTATACACATATAGCTTGTACAAAAAACCTCTAAGAGAGGATTTACTAAACTGTTAATATTCTTTTTATAATTTGTAAATAAATAAAAATTTTAATTTGTATGCCTCCTGATTATGAGGCGAATATTAGTACCATATTTTATTTTAATACACTCACTATAAAGGAAACAGTGTTGCTGGCAGCTTGTCTATCATTCTTTTTATAAACTTTATATTTTTACATCAATTTTTTATACGTCACTTTTGACTATATATATTGTTTTGTTACTTCTTGCTGTGAGCCCTTTTGGGAAGAATACACACTTTTACTAGTATTTGGTTTTTATTAAAATAGTAGTTGTGTTCCCGCTCCAGTAACAAACAGTGTTCAAACAAATTAATCTATAATTAAGTATAATTAGGGTATTGTACTTCAAAAAAGGTCCCTTTATAAGCTACATGTTAGGCCTTGAATAAATTATTATTATTTGTTTAATTCCACTACTATTAGTGTGAGACCACAAATATTCAGTGCGAAAATACATATATAAAAATATATTTTCTTTTCTTAAAAAAAAATATAACTTACCATCCAATTTACTTGGCTCCAATTTGTACCGAATTAATATTGGTTTTGATAAATCCGCAGTCCTCTGCAAATACAATGATGGCGTGATACTTTCTCTGTGATCTATCACTAACATTTTTTATGTTTATACTGTACTGGCTACCCGCCCCGGCTTAATAATATATAAACCTACGTCTTGAATCACTCTATCTACTGCTAAAACTTACATTAAAATCCGTTACGTAGTTTAAAAGATCTACCCGAACAGACACCGGAAGCTACTTTATTTTATACTATGTAAAGAAGTGGACATGATAGTGAAAGACACAGGGTCCTTCGCACCCCCGTGAGAGTGTTTTGGTGGGGGGACTGGAGGGTTAGTAGAAATTTATTTGTTACTAAAATTAAAGAAATCGCTCCAGCCATTCTCGACTTTTTTTAAGAGACTAAGGCTGCAATTCATCAATCGTAGTATAAACACGTTCAGCATCGACTTCTACAGTGTCACAACCCCATAAAATAATTTTTGGGGGACAATCATGGAGGGTTAGTAGGAAAATATTTGTTACCAAAAATTAAACAAATCGCTCCAACCGTTCTCGAAAGATTGTTTTTTTTAAGAGATTAAGGTCGGATTTCACCAAAGAAACTGATCACCAAAATCCAGCCTTAATAGACATAATAACCTAATAATATATACTTACATTAACATTCACAACATGCTCGTCACACTTCTCTATGCCTGGTTTGACAGATATGACTGATTCTGTATGATCATCCATAAATGCTCTATTCAATTCAGGATCAATCATTTTCGTTGCTTTAAAATCTAAAACAGAGTTAAGTCACTTATTTAATACATATTTAATTATAAAACAGTAGACTTACCTGTAAGAGTTATTGCACACATATGTACATCGTAATGCACGAGTAAAATAAAAAGTAAATAATATACGTATATACTGTCCGGCCGCTCAAAGTTTGCGTTTCGAACACGTGGGGATCGAATGGGCGATGTAACTTTGAACTGACGTACGATTTACGGCAAAATTTTAAATATCTTTTATTTGTCTTATTAACGAGTGATAATATAAAATGTAATAATTATTCCAACTTACAATAAACGTATTAATTTTGGCCTATTCCAAATTCTAAGCAATTCAGAAATGCAAACTTTGAGCGGCCGCACCTTACATATGTAGGATAGTAGTGATAACTTATCACCTACCAACATTAATGTGTTGCCATTTCTGCGTCCTTACGGACACACAGAAATATGCTGTGAAATTGTTCGCATCCTCAGGTAGGTCCATCAAATTAGGTACTTTTATTTCTGTCTCCACTTTCACTGTAGGTACACATTTCAGGAGATAAGCTGTTTGACTAGCATAAGCTCCTATAACCACATCTGTTGGAGAAATAAAAATAGGAATATCATTTATTCAGATAAACTAATTTTAACACGTTAATCGCCATGTCAGTCATATTTGTCTGACGCTAAGAAGTTCTACATGAGCAATGTCAGACATATATGTCTGACATAGGTACGCGATTTGGTAGAAGGCGCTGTGCTCAAAACAATAGGTCAATACTTGTTGTATTTTGTTTGGATGCGTCAGACATATAAGACTGACACGTCTTGTCGCGATAAAAAGTTTTAATATAGGGTCATGTTAGTCATATATGTGTGACATAACAAATAGTGAATTTCTAAGAATTTTGGCAAATAAAAATTTCTGTGATACATTGAGTTCCCTTGATACATGTTTAACTAACAAAGTTACCATGGACCATGTGAAAATTTTTCTGATATTATAGTGGCGATTAACGTATTAAGGACTTTTCAATAGTCATTTCTTGCATCAGTTTTTTATCAATCATCAATCATCAATTTTTTATTAACAAATTTGTATCTTGGCGAGTATTAAGGGTGGCTCAGTTAATTATTAAGGTACATTAAATAGAAATATAAATAATCTGTATTCAAATAAGCTTAATACAAGCACTTTTGAATAGTCACGTTTTTTTATTCTACCGCTCAAATATTCAAATAAAATTAATGATTTGAGAATTAAGGAAAATAAATTGCTTATGTTTTGACAGGATATTTAAAAATACGACAACTATAACAAAATTATAAATAAATCATTATTTTTATATTAAAAAAGAAACGCAATAAAGGTCATGAGTTACAGCTAAACATATGATACTCACCATTACAAAAATTATTATCAACATCATATCCTTTTGAAATTGATATACCTAAACCTCGGGCCCCCTCGACCAGAATTCTTTGTGCGTATTGGTTTTTCAATCCACTGTCGCTGCCTTGATATATGTAAACGACGCCGGAACCTTCATTCTCCCATGGAGCTCCTACTGCTACATCTAAAATAAAAGAAAATATTGTGTTCAGTACACAAAGGACTGATTTCAGCGCTGAAGTAACAATTCCTAGATTTCAGCAACTCTTTTAAATATATACATAATACAGTCAATATTATTCGCTAATATTTTCTGTCTGTAGTTAAAGTTATTAACATCGGCAGCCGCGAGTAGAGGAGAGCACGAACCCGGGGGAGCAGCCCGGCGGCCGGTGTGTCCGGGGGTATGTGGCCCTGACCCGTAAAGGGGCACCGGGCGGTACAGCGCCCTCAACGCCGTCTATGCCCGGCAAGGAGGCGGTACACGGTCGCGGTTGGGGTGCGCAATGCAACACAACGACGATCGCGGTCCTCGATGAGGGGGGCGGAGGGTGTAGTTTTCAACCGAAACTCCAAGTTGGATACTAGGAGCTGAGGATATAGGGGCATCCGAACCTCCAAGGAGGCGAGTGGTCCGTTCAGGGTGGGCGCGGAGTGGTCCCCGTGCCCACTGGAGAATGCAGCCGCGTCTCGGCCGAATGATGCGAACCCGAGACGTCGGCGAAGAATCGAACATCTGGGGGCTTTGGTGGGTAAAAATCCCACAGTATCCGTCCGCAGTCCTTCATAAATGTGGGCGGAACTGTATGAACATTTCCCGTCGTTAAAAAAAAGTTAAAGTATTTTTGAAAATATCTTTCGTTTTTTTTAATACTAATACAATTAATAACTAATAAATAAATAATTTCAAAGTCGCTTTAGAGTGTTTATAAATTAGTTCATTACAAATAAAAAACAAATATTTCCTCATCATAATATCGGTTTAGTAAATTTGAAACGCCACAAAGTCAAATTAAATGGATTGTTTCCAATAATTTTCGTATCATGTTCCTTGTTGTTAATTAATATTAAATTAATTCGTATTATGTATACTCAATATTATTATCTTTGTTCATTTAAATATTATTTTTATTTTCCTTGTTTGTATATCTATTTAGCCGAATGTCGAATCCATTCCTCTAAGTTTTGTTTAGTAGATTGCTTTTACTCAAACTTTTTTTAGATACTGGAACGGTGCCGGGTGCACCGTTCCAGTATCTAAAATGAAATGCGCCCTGCTCTAAAGTTACGCTAGCTCGGCACCGGTGGAGGATGATAAGATGAGCATGAGGTCAGGTCAGTTACCCCGTCGTGACAAATTCACCAAGAATTTATCACGATGGTTTTCAGGAGGAACAGCAAATAATAAGATCATCAGTCCACATTACTAACAATTCCCTTTCCCCTGATACACTGATACGTTGTATCGTATCCGTCAGGCAGGAGTTGGCCTTTAATATCTCCATAAGTCCTTCCTTAGCTTGATAACGTGGTGTGAATTGTCTAAGGACATCATTATTACTAGTTTATACAAATAACCTACCGTTATAACCATCACCATCAACATCGCCTAGATCAGCTATGGAAATTCCGAAATGCGCTCCGCTGTGTTTTGATCCTGACACAAAACCTGATTCCTCTAACGAGAAGGTACTATTCTGTGAACACAAGAAAGAGGAAACAATTTATACTTAGCGGAGCAGTAAAGTCCTTGGCGACCGCGAAGGCTGTAGCAAGGTGGACCGACAATCTTGTCGTCGCAAGTGATCTTCAACATTGTGTCGTTGTGAAGATCTCTTGCGTGATCTTGACCAGATGGTCAAGCTCTATTTCACGCAACGGTCTGGGTGTTTCTAAGTATTTTATTTAAATATTTTTGTGACAACTGATTTTAGTTAACTGATAGAAATTTCTATCAGTTGTCTAATACCCACAACACAAGTTAAGAGCTTAGTTTGGGACTAGATGGCCCTTTGTGAATTGTGCAGAGTTGTTATTAGATTTGTTGCCGGTGTGTAATCCTCGTGGTTAATTTCAGATATATTCTAGACTTTGTGGTAACTGATCTGACTTCACCCTCATCTCGTTACCCTCCACTGGTGTCCCTTTAGCGTATATCATTAGCGAGATGAAAGTGTTAATTTGTAACGATATTTAGTTAACATAACAATCATATGTGTATATATTTAATTTAAATAAATTTTCTATTTGTTAACCGATCGGTACGGGAACCTCGCCACAGTATAACAGTGAAAACCGCATTTAAATTGTTTAAGTGGTGGTTTTTATGGTTAGCGTGCATAAACGCATAGATAACAAAAATTTAATGAAGATCTCAATAATATATTACATATGCCGATAAAAATAAATTATTCGTATTAAAAATAACAATACAAAACTCAATTCGATAAAATAAAAATTAATGATAAACTGACATGGCCATATATGTACTAGCTGTGCCCGCGGTTTCACCCACATGAAAGTCATTACTAATTAATTGTTGTTCTTGTCATTACTGACGTAAAAATAGAAATAGAAATAATCTTTATTCAAATAAACTTAATATAAGCACTTTTGAATAGTCAAGTTTTTGTTTCTACCGCTTATTCAGAATGCAGATTCATCGCAAGAAGAATAAACTTGTGTGTTGCACTTCTTCTCATATAAGTTATATTACTGTAAAGTATCATCAAAATCCTTTCAGTAGTTTTTGCGTGAAAGAATAACATACATCCATCCATACTTACAAACTGCTGCGTTTATAATATCAATAAAATGATTAACTGTTTTTTTTTTGAGATAAAATATAGCCTGCACGTCTTTATACATTCTATCTCCATGTCTTTTCAGTCGTTTAAACAAAACAAATGGACAGACATTTATAATATTATCATGAAGAAATAATAACGTGTACAATGGCAATATTGAATAATTAATATTTAGGGAATTTCCCTTAAACAAAAATTAATACCTATTATTAGTAGGAAACAATAAATGTAAATGAATTTAATTCTGTAATAGATATTATTTATTATTAATTCGTATTAGATCATATTATTCTGAAAAGGAAAAACGGTTAAACTGTGGTTTTGATTAACCTTTGGTTTCTAAGCGTGGCTGTAATAAACCTTGTCTTAGCACTCGGTACCTACTGTATTACCTATTTATTTCAAACACTAGCTGCACCCGTGACTTTGTATATGTGGTATTTGCAATAGCAACAGTTTATATATGTTTTAAACCAATTGCAACAAAATAAAAAAAAAATTAGAGAACCACAATACATTAGTGAAAATTTGTTTAAATGAGCTACTGAATGGATTTTGATGAAACTTTGCAGTAATATAGCTCATATATCAGAATAACACATATGTAGACTATGATTTAGGATGTAGTGGTAAATATGAAGTAAATGTGATGCAGACAAGTTGCAGACAAGTTCTATGTATATATTAGTATATAGCTAAAGAGTATGTTTGTTCGTTTGGTTGAACGCGCTAATCTCTAGAACTACAAATTGAAAATATATTTTAGTATTGCCAGAGTATCCAATATATCGAGGAAGGCTATGTATGCTATAAAAATCATAATAGGATCTAAACATCAATGAAAAATATAGCAAAAATGGAGAAGATCTGGTTATCGGTTTTTACCTGGTCACGGTTTATATAAACGAAAACAGCTCCCTGGTCGTAGTGCAGCCCTCCATCTTTGTGGGTGAAGGTAGGAGCACCAACGAGCAGGTCAAGTCTACCATCATTGTTGATATCCACACAGCAGAGAGAGGCGCCATAGTAGGCCCCCGTGTGGCGTCCGACTATAATTTGCCTAATTCTTAATGGAGCATTTTCTTGGATCGCTGATTCGTATAAAAAAACCTGAAATAGAATAGAAAATTCTTTATTCAAATAAATACAAATTTTAGCACTTTTTTATTGGATTTTTTGGGCTATTGTCAGGTGACTGCAGCATTTGTAGCACTGCGACCTACATAGATCTATTGTGCTCGCCCTTTTTTAGAGTTCGCTACATAGACCCGTCAGGGACAAGAATTTAAGGATATTTTTAGGAACGATGGTTTTTATCTCCTCGGGAAAGAGAGTAAACTTTCCAAAGGAGATATTTCGTTTATGCATGAGTGGGCTACAACCACATAAGATGTGTAGTGGCGTTTCCTCTTCAGTTTGGCAGAATCTGCAGTTTTGCCACATGTTTGTTTAATTCGCAGTGTCCTGTGAGGGCTCTTCGTACATATGTTGTTTTTACTCAATAGCAGTAGTCTATTGGAGTATTTGTTCGAGTAGCCCAAAATTAGGGCTTTTGAATATACCAATCCTGACATTTCAGTGATTCAGTGCTTCTCGTTTGGTTATTAGTATTTAAGAATAAGCATACTTATTTCATTAATAGAAATAGAAATAATCTTTATTTAAATTAACTCAATACAAGCACTTTTGAATAGTCATATCTTTTATTCTACCAGTCATTCGGAACGCAGATTCATCACAAGAAGAACGAGCACGAAGCAGAACTTGCGTATTGCTCTTTAAATAATTTACCTATGAATACATGTATATATAAAAACATAAATGCCTAAATTGATTTGGACTTTGATGTTTCTAGAAATTAAATTCTAATATCGATACCATACTAATCTGATCGAGCCCCTGTCCCATTCAAACGGAATGGTATTACGACGACCTGAGCCAAGGTCCGAAAACCTAGATGTGACCTCAGATTAAAGTCGTGTCGTGTCCTGAGGTAGTAGTTGACCTTAAACTCAACACAATGCTCCATTAAGTCCTTTCGCGGGTTTGGATAATCCTCTGCGCTTGCTCATATTTCCTTCGGTGAAGCTGTTAATCCAGCTTCGGTCAACGTTGAAATAGTCGGAAAACATGATACCGATATTTGAAGAGTTTTTTCAAGAGATCTTAAATTATCATTTTTAAATTTAATAATAATGTTAATCTAAATATATATAACTCAAAGGTGACTGACATAGTGATCTATCAACGCACAGCCCAAACCACTGGACGGATCAGGCTGAAATTTGGCACATGCAGGTTATGACGTAGGCATCCGCTAAGAAAGGATTTTAATTAATTCTATATCCAAGGACATAAAATAGGGGATGAAAGTTTGTATGAAACTTTGTCTACTATGACGTAGGCATCCCCTAAGATAGGATTTTGATAAATTCCACCCCTAAGGGAATAAAATAGGTGATGAAAGTTTGTATGAAACTTTGTCTACTATGACGTAGGCATCCCCTAAGATAGGATTTTGATAAATTCCACCCCTAAGGGAATAAAATAGGTGATGAAAGTTTGTATGAAAGTACTGTAAAGCCGCAAAAACTATACCTAATAATAATACTTCTTAACGCGAGCGAAGCCGCAAGAAAAAGCTAGTAGATGATAAATCTTATTTATATCATAATTACCTGACCCAATCCATTCTTCGATCTCGGTGCACCCGCTACACGAAGTATTTTACCTTTGTTTTCAAATGAGCCTGCTTCAACGCTGTATCCTGAAAAGTTATATTCTTTAACTAGCTACTCGCCCCGGCTTCGCACGGGTGTACATGTATTATATATATATAAGCCTTCCTCTTGAATCACTCTGTCTATTAAAGAAAACCGCATCAAAATCCGTTACGTAGTTTTAAATATTTAAGCATATATAGGAACGGACAGACAGCGACAGCGACTTTGTTTTATACTATGTAATGATACCCTATACAACTCAAACAGTGACTACCTTGTTTTTTTTTTGATTGAGCCTATTTTTGTAACTCTTTTAACTTCTGCGTTTGCGCTTTCGGGTTACGCTCGCTTTAGCAGAGTATGTTAAATGTTTTGGAAGTGTTTTATTTGTTTAGTTTATACATTTGTTAATACTAATAGTTATTATGTGTAGTTTAGATGTTTATTATATATATAGTTTGAATGTTATTTATGTGCATGTGTTGTTTTTAGATTACATGTTGTTAATATTTACAAGACGAGTGATTGTATCTCGATGTTTTTCTTATAGGAGATATATTATTTACACTAAGAGGAGCTTGTTATATGAGTACACTATCGATAGAATTACTTAAATAAAAAAAAAACATTTAATACCGCATATGTATATATAGTCTTTAAGTCAATCATCCAAGTATATTGTATTTCTTATAGTGGTATTCAATGTGTTTTTTTTTATTTAATTCTATCGATGGTGTTGCATATAAACAAAATTAATGCTATAATAATAATAATAATAATCTCAGGACAATTCACACAGCGCCATCTAGACCCAAGTTAAGCTATCTAAAGCTTGTGTTATGGGTACTAGATAACTGATACATATACATAGATTTTTTTGTAAATAAATACTTATTATACATAGAAAACACCCAGGGCGATACAAATAATCATACTTATGAATACAAATGTTTGTGCCGTGCGAGGAATCGAACCCGCGACCATCGGTCGTAAAGCGGTGTGCTTGACCACTAGACCACCGAGGCCGGTACAAACAATCATACTCATGAATACAAATGTTTGTGCCGTGCGAGATTCGAACCCGCGAATCGGTCGTAAAGCGGTGTGCTTGACGTGTGATGGTATGTTATTTGTTAATAATAAATAGCGTATATTTATATATACATATTTATAGGTTGCCTTGAATGTGGTACAATGGTGTGGCCATTGTACCACATTGACCTATAAATAAATAAAGTTTGACTTTAAAATTGTCTCTTATATTTAGTCATCACTGACCACCAGCCACAGCTAACATTGTCAATTCTCTAAAACATTCTATAAGTACACAATCTTATTAATATTATAAACGCGAAAGAAAAAGAAATGAATGTGAAAGGTTGTATGGTAGTATAGTTATTTTTAAAGGTAGAAGCTTGAAGCTTTTTTTAGTCTTTTTGGATTAGATTGTTAAATATTTTGCTATTCTAGGATACTATTCAACGCGGACGAAGTCGCGGTTAGTAGTCTATATCCTACAATAAAGTTAAATTGCTCACCGAAATAGTCATCAAGTTGCAATTCTTCAGTGTAAAATGGATTAGTGACTGGTCTCTTCTTTGTGTTCAGAGTATTTTCTAAATCACTGTAATAATCAACTGTTCCACCTAAAACGAAATAATAGACTGTACTACAGAACCATCATCTCATTTATTTGGGGTCAGCGTAATATATTTTTTATATAACATAAATTATTGGTTAACTTTCCATGTTCAACTAACTGACCAGATCTCATGATCATTGGAGGATAGAGGATTATTAGTAAGGTGGATTAATAACCCTATTGCTAGTAACGTAGTAGCAACTGTCAGGTTGACCTCCACGCGGTTCCCCCTGGAAACCATTATGTTAAATTCCTGGTGAATTTGCCACGAGGCTAACAGACCTGACCTCAAGTCAACTACGTGGTAGCAACTGTCAGGTTGACTTCCACGCGGCTCCTCCTGGAAACCATTGTGTTAAATTCCTGGTGAATTTGCCACGAGGCTAACCGACCTGACCTCAAGTCAACTACGTGGTAGCAACTGTCAGGTAGACCTCCACGCGGCTCCTCCTGGAAACCATTGTGTTAAATTCCTGGTGAATTTGCCACGAGGCTAACCGACCTGACCTCAAGTCAACTACGTGGTAGCAACTGTCAGGTAGACCTCCACGCGGCTCCTCCTGGAAACCATTATTTTAAATTCCTGGTGAATTTGCCACGAGGCTAACCGACCTGACCTCAAGTATGTATAAATATAAGTCAGTACTGTTTTAAGTTTGACGCGGTCATTATTTATTAGTACAATTAGTAAATCACGGGATCTTAACTAAACAAATATAAAACGTGGTAACTCAGTAGACTTATTATCCTCCACTGGTGCCTGGCCAGCGTATCCGTTAGCGCAGGCGAATACACCATTCCATTATCATCCCTTAAAAAAAGACCACATAGTCACTTTATCATCGTACACTGATGCCCCCATAAAACCGTTAGCGCCGGAGAGTGCATCGTTCCATTATCATTTATTAAGAAAAATCCAACGAGAGCAATTTTACTGCAGTCTCAAGAATAATTTTTTGGTGTTTGGAATCAGTGAGAAATGTAAATTGATACACATTTTTTAATGTCGGCTATAAGTTGTAGAGTTTCAAAAGTTATTTGCGTAGATACTTCAGTCTCATCTATTTCAAGTTCTCTCAGCTTGCTCTGTAATCTGTGTTTCGGTTATAGGAAGCAAATTTGGAGATTAGGATTAGATCTTCATCTACTGGAATGGCAACGCATGAGTGGATTCATGGTTATCACATGATAACGTGATGGCGACAGTTACTATCATGTAGGCCATTATATTAAAAAAATCTTATAAGGCGTACTCACCGGTCCATTGCAAAAGCCCCGGTGCGCCAAAAATTACGTGTTTATCATCACACACCTTCAAAGACATACCAAATTGAGCCTCAGCGTAAAAATGTAGAGAGTCTTCATATCCTGGTCTAACTTTGTCAGCATGGAAAGCTTGTTTACCTGTGGAAATATAAACTTAATACAAGCACTGTTGAATACTCAATTTTTTTAATTCTACCACTCATTCAAAACATACACTCATCACAAGAATAATGAGCTAGGAACATGCTCTTTTAAATCAAGGTTGTTCAGAATTACATTTATAAGAATTATATTTAATACCTCTCATTCGGAATGTAATTTCATCACAAAAAGAATGAGCTAGAAACATGCATTCGGAACGCTGACTTACCATGATTCTTGCTCATTCTTCTTGTGAAGTGATTCACAAGAAGAATGGGCAAGAATCATGCTATTTTAAATTAATGTTGTTCAGAATTACATTTTTAAGAATTGTGTGTGAATACAAACTACTAATTAGCAAAGTTGATATTAATAAATGAATAGTTTAGTAACAAAACAAATTAGTCATAGTATCAGAGCAGATCAGTCCGCAAGCAGCACCGGTTACAAGTATAACGTGTGAGGTGTCCTAAAATAAACATAGTTTTAAACTTTTCCCATGCTTGTTTACAATTGTATCCATTATACAAACGAGATGTTTACCATGGCAATATTATTTATGAACATATATGACGTCATTACGTATTGGTCATGGAGCAACTGTGACATGCACGACAACCTCGCCCGAGGCAAATTCTTATTAATCCCGCTGGCACCATAACGGCAGTTAATCCTACGGGTCCACCCGTTTCGTCCCGACCACACTTTCACACACACACGACACTGTCCTCCCCGGCGAAGACAACGGCCTCAACTATATCATACCGCGCAATCAACCTGACTGCGCGCGCCCGGGCACTCCACACGGGTGCCCCCGGTCGCCCCTCCGACCGATACCTCGTCTAGTTCATACGGGGATCGAATTGGGCTGAGCCGAGGCTCGAACTCCTAGCGGTTCCCTCAGACTAAAGTCGTATCCGTCAGGCGGGCCGTTGGCCTTCAGCCGCTGCACAAGTCCTTCCGTGGGTTTGGAGTATCTGCATCTGCACTCGCTCCCTATCGTCCGGTAAAGGCCAGCTGCGGCATTAGAGTAGCCCGTAAAAAAGTCCTCAAGAATGAATATGAGTACCACGGGTTATGAGATCCGTAGTGTCGTTTTACCACGGTTGTGTTGTGTAGTGTCGGTTACCACTTACCGTCAGTCTGCTTACTATTCCAATTGTATAAAAAATTAATACTCACGACTGTCTCCAAAAGGATTAAGTAGGATATAAACGTTTCTTTTCTTTACGTAAGCAAAACAAACACCGTTTGCTAATATATATCTCTTCTCATGTAATCTGGACCAGCGTGGTGCACATATCTGTAATGGATACCATATTGCTATTACCTGCGACTTCGACAAATTTTTTGACGACCTCGGTGGTCTAGCGATTTAGCACACCGCTTTATTTCCGATGGTCACGAGTTTGAGTCCTCGCACGGTAAAAACATTTATATTCATGTTTAAGATTCTTTCCGTCTGGATATTTTCTATGTATATAATGTATGTAGTTACAAAAAAGGTATCTAAGTATTTATATCAGTTGTATCCAATTTATTTTTATTTGGTAATTTGAGCTATTCTCTGGTCATATGACACTTCGCCATACATAGATCTAATGTGGTCGTCCATTTTCAAAATTCTCACTTTCGTTTCAAGCTCTACTTAGCGTGGAACTAGATAGCGTTGTGTGAATTGTCCAGGGATATTATTACTGTTACTTTTGGGATAAAATAGAGCCTATATCCACCCTCAAGATACTATCGATCTTTATGTATTTTTCTTAATAAACGTTCAGCGATTTACTTGATAAAGTAGTAAACAGACGAGGTCCCTTTATTATTTTGGAATCAAATATCATCAGCGAAAGTCATATCCGAAGTGTTTGCATTTACCAGGACGGCGTCGTATACATAACACCCCCACTGACAGCCCCATCTGGGAAAACAGTCATGATATTATTCTAATAACAAACACCCCAGCCGAAATGAGATGCTAATTTCGGAAAATTCAAGTCAACGTACATATGATTTAAATCTTTATTGAATGTTACTTACGTATAATCTTTCTTTATTCAATGCACCTAACGTTGCTCCATACCACATGTCGTCGACAAAAGTTGCTGGGAGTCGATATGCTGAATAAAAAACAAATGTAAAAGATATTTAATTACCTAATACATAGTTATTACACATGCTAATAGTAGTGGAATGCAATAAAAGGCTATGCAGGAAAAGAAATACGACCGGTGAAGATGAGTGTTGATGTACGGCAGCAAATGAGTCCCTTAAACCTACACCCAGGTCACAATTCCCAGGAACTGCTCAGAATTTCCGTATCTGCCATAAAATGGACCCGGCACAGTCACACCCATCTCAGATGAAGTTCGTCTCTCCATTTTATCGAATTGTTATTTTGCTAAAGTTCATTTAATTACATATTTAATGCATTTGTATTATTTTGTTTAGTTCCTCTATTCTTAGCATGTACAATATGGTCTCATATTGCAATATGGTTTACACCCACCACTAGAGAGCAAGTTCCGATATAGGATCTACTTCCAATAACAGAATTTGGCCTCTAGTGGGGAAGGTTGTAACGCTTACGTAGTATAAATATTCAGTGCCTAAACCTGAACATCGCTGTTCAGGTTTAGGCACTGAATATTTATTGTTAATGATCTCACACATACTAATAGTACATCAGAATTAAACATAAAAATACAAGTCCATTAATTAATCATCCCTCAACACCTCTTCGCTGCCAAAACACCTGTCTCTGTTACTGTCTGTCACTTTACAGTGTTTATTTTCTTTCAATTTGACAGACTTACTTGGAAGTAAAGGAGAACAGGTCTTGTTATGTCCATCCTCGATGTCCAATGAACAGTTAAACACAAGTCCAGTTGAAACAATTGGTCTCGTTCTGCTCTTCGCTTTCGGTGCACCAACTTGGAAGCTGAATGTAAGTTAATAATATAAAAATAGAATAGAAAATAATTAATTCAAATGAACATAAATTTATACACTTTTGAATAGATATCGCTATAATTTTCTTAATCTACCGCACATTCGGAAAACTGTCTCATCACAAGAAGCATAAGCTAGAAACTTGTGTGTTGCTCATTTAAATAGTTGTTGCATCTTTACATTTTTAAGCCGAAAGGTATGATAAAACATTTCGACTATTGCCACTACCAATAATCTTCTATTCTCTCCCGCTTGCTGTGCCCAAAATGGTCCATAATTTATCTACTTTGAACTTAACTATCTACCAACTGCTAACTGTAAAATTATGGAATCCATTCCATCATTTTACAGTTAGCAGTTGGTATATGTGTACTATGTAATGAAGCTTTGGAAAGCTTCATTACAAGTACACATAAAAGTTTTTCTTGTTTTTCGGTTGGTGGGCCTGGTGATCTGTATTACAGGTTGTAACCACGATCACAACAATTGATTGTAATGATAAATCTTTGCAATTGCTGTTCCTAATGTGTACCATGTTTGTGAGGAAAAATAAATAAAATATTATTATATTATAGTATATAACAAAGCCGTTGTCGCTATCTGTCCGTTCCTATGTATGCTTAAATCAAAATCATTATTTTGAAGCTGTTTTTTTAAAAAGAGATACAAGAATATATACATATATAAAATATGAACACCCGTGAGAAGCCGGCAAAATAGTAAATAAATAAATAAATACTACTAACTAAGTAAACTAGTAATAATTATTAATGAACTTGGCTAATTCACATAACGCCACTACTCCCAAGATAATCATCTTGTGTAGTATAAACAATTGTTAGAAACACTTTATCACTACAAACAGTTACTCACAAATATTATAACTACACAATACTTCCATACAAACAATTTTGTTTTTTTTATTATCATAGCGTAACATAAGTATAAATTCTCTTTTACATTGTCCACTCTCTCTCTTTTCGTGGTAGCTTCCAGTACTGGCACAATTATTCCACCGCCAGTTTTCATTATTCACCTTTAAAAACGATAAAATATATGTACTATTTAACCTATTCTTGGTGTAGTTGTATATATATATTTTTAATTTTTATATTTATTAATGTTATTTTAGTCTATTTTGTTCTTTCTAGTATATATAATTGGTTTGTATTTATTAAAAATTATTATTTTTTTAATTATCTCTCTCTCTCTCCCCAGTTTTCAGTGGTAAAAATGAGTTTAATATATATTTACATTTTATTTGATCTTTTTTTGGAGCCATTTCGTTATATGGATGTTAAAAATATTATTTTATGTTTATTTTTAATTATCTGCAAAATAAATTATATTTTTTATATGAACTTTTTTTACGTTTGTTGTTCATATTGTATTTTTTACATTGCACTGAATAAAATATATCTTTATTGCTAACAGTGTGGGTACATTTTTTTGTAGGTGGTATAACAATATACGTATATTGTATATGTATCAACAGTTACCTATCGGGTATGCAACAATTTAGAACAGGTTTGATTTAAGATTTAAAATTATATTATCAATTACATTAATTTATTATGGCATGATATTATTCTAATTAAATTGTCAAAAAAATATATGATTCAAATATATAATTCAAATATGTTTCAAAATGGTAATCATTTTGTTTATCAAAACAACCAACCTTTAGTCTAGCCTTAAACATTCGTTTACTTAGACATTTTATGTCCAGTGTATAATATCCATTACCATTGCGCTTTTGCGATGGATATAATTATAAATTACCGGTAAAAATAAGTCATGTTTATGACGCAAGTTATTTCATACATCCGATTTACATCCGTCGAATGTTCAGAGCTATTATTGTTATATCTATGTATAAATTAAATATATATATTTTCATTTATTTAATCACTTACCCTAAGTCACTGAGGAGTACTGAATAACCAAAATATTCCGACGGAATGTCTGGAGCAAATGTAATTTTTCGATCCTCATTGAAAATCCCTTTATAGAACGACACAGTATCACAATAAATAAAATTTAACAAATACAGAATCCATAATAATTTAATAATCACTTCCATATTGACAACACCTAATTTTGTCCACAGACCAACATAAAAGTCAAGACAGGTTCGTACAAAAAAAGCTGTAAAACTACTCCTAACAAAGTTAATAAACATATACATACAAATACAAAGTCTAACCATAGTCGGAAGTACGAACAAGATTGTCAAAATATACCATGATAAAAGTATTATAAAAACATAGCAATGTAATGCTAGGACAAAAATAATGTAATTATGTAATATTATGTTATATGTGGTTATAATAACCATCTTTTTATCTAAGTAATTGTAAAAACTATTATGATAAAAAAAAATATGACACCGACAGTAACGTGGTGTTAGAAGAACTGACATTACGTCAATTACTAAGAAACATAAATTCATTTTAAAAAATCCTTATCTCAACTTTTTTGTATACGTAAATATTATCATATAGGATATAGTAAACATGGAAAGTAATCATATCACTGACTACGTTCTCTTTTATTCTTCTTATCAAACATCATTACATAGTATAAAACAAAGCCGCTGTCGCTGTCTGTCCGTCCCTATGTATGCTTAAATCTTTAAAACTACGCAACGGATTTTGAAATGTTTTTTTAATAGATAGAGTGATTCTAGAGGAAGGTTTTGTATGTATAATACATGTACATCCGTGCGAAGACGGGGGAAGTAGCTAGTTAGATATAAAAATGTCTCACACGTCAAAGAACAATATCACTTTTGTTGTATGCAGTACTCCGTCTAGACTTTTTTGTTGGTCTTCGCTATCGTACACGACATTAAAGCTACAAATCGAATATCTAATAGACACTCGAGGTCATATCAATAATTTTAACACAGTATCGTACCGTATTCATTATTATTATCAATATAATATCACCCAAAACAATAATTGTAATTTGTATATTTGTCTGTCTGTGTCTTGAACGATTTGGGCACGGTTTTCACTAACGCATTAAGTAATCATCACTTAAAATTTTGTGTTTATTTTATTACAATGGGTACACATATAAATAAAAATGAATATTGTTATTTCGAATACCATGGGTACAATCTAAGTTTAGTAAAGTAATAACATATTTTTAATGCACTATTTACACTTATAAAACATCTTTTATGCACCATTTACAGTTATAAAATGTTAATTTTATTCGTTAAAAGTTTAATATTTAATTTAAACCATAATCAAATCGGTCCCGCTCAGCACGCACTCCGGAACAGACTGGACATACCTATAATTATTTGTACATAAACAATGCAGATAAATGATTCACATTGTATGTACATAATTTTGATTTTAGTTGATGACTCACATTTACAAAGGTCTCGTAGTTCTGAGTGTAATGGCGGAATTAAGTAGAATTTCTTGTAATAATGACAATGTTGTTCATAAAATAAGCTGTATGAACAAAATAGAAGTAGCACTATTCTTTATTCATATAAACTCAATACAAGCATTTTTGAATAGTCATACTTTTTATTATACCACTTAATCGGAAGGCAGTTACATCACTCAGAAGAATGAGCAAGAAACTTGTGTGCTGCTGTTTTGAATATTTTTTTTTCGATTTATATTTTTATTTCTACTTGATACAAAAGGTCGCCAAGTGCAATTAAATTGATACTTATGTATGTGTCGATGATTCATCATCGACTGAATCATTTACTTATAGTAGCATCATTTGCTTACAATAGTCATTTATTCTTTGCCGTACAGTGCGAGACTGTTGGTCAGGTTTGCGTCATTACAAGAAAATATTTTTTGTATGATTCTGTGTAACTTTTTTTTTTCTGCATGACATATTTGCAAACATATGTTTGTAAAAGTGTTATTTATCATTATTCATATAGATCTATTACATACTCTTACGATATGTCTAATCTACAGTCAGTTTGGAGTGCTTTCGAGCTGAGAGGAACTGACAGGAAACTCAGCTCTTATTCTTTTCAAATAAGGTTGTACATGTTTACAATAATATAGACTCATTATTAAGTTTAAATTAAAAAAAATAGAGTGACCCCCAGCATACGTTATTGCAATTTTGTCAAACGCAAATAGTCTAATTAGTGTTCGTAACCCGAGCTGACCAGATCCCTCAAACAGCACTCGTTCACGAGTATGACGGATGAGCCAGCATCATTGTACTCGACCATATTAGAGGGAGCACATTGACCCAGCCCACCACGCCGCCACAAGTTTGAACTTTATAGCTATTAGAGTAATATTACTGCTTCAAGTTACTTCACTACGTCATTGATTTTGAAGTTTCTGATCCGGTTTTGATTTTTGGAGATCGTAAAAATAAGACAATGCTCGTATAAAGACGTGCAATCGTTTCTTTTTTAGTTTCTTTCCAAAGGACAGTGCCAACCCTTATGTTAGGTTAATTAATTACTCTGTGGTAGGTACAGATGGCTACCTGACTCGACAGACATTGTTCTGTCTTAGTCACCATACTTGTAAATATTTGTGGATTACCTTCTATATAAAGTCGTATCCGTCAAGTGGGAGATGGCCTTCAGCCGCTCCATAAGTCCTTCCGCGGGTTTGTATCATTAAAAAAATTTTTGTATCTGCACTCGCCCACTATCGTCCAGTCTGCTTCCCCTGCCACTCGCGCTACCGGAAATATTGCCGGGCGACAACTGAGCGAGAGGGCTGAATGTAGAAACACGCTGCCACTCTCGCTGCCAGTCCTTTGACTCGCGCACGAAAAACCGACAATCGAGGGAGCACCGCGAGTGGCAGCGTCAATGGCATGGGAAGTGTTTCCACTCGTGTTTACAGACTCGCGCTGTTCAATTCCCTGCCCACTCGGGCTGAGTGTAAATTGGGCACAACGGTCAGCTGCGACCATCAGCATTAGAGTAGTCCGAAAGTTAAATACCATTTACAATGTTTTGGACAATAATCATAAAAGATGAATCGGGTCAGCTAATTAATAATATACATATAACATAATATATTTAATATACTATAATTAATATAAACCAATACCATTGTATATTAATACTCTATACAACTGTACATATAAATGAAATTGGAGTGTCTGTTTGTAATATTGAAATAAACGTTTTTTACTACATGCATATGAATATAAATACGGCACATACATACACCAAAATAATATCTTTTGCAATTTTTGCCTGCTTTCTATTTGTTCCGGCTAATCTTTGAAATGGCTGAACCGATTTTGACGGTTTTGATTTTATTGGCAGATAGCTGATGTAACAAGGAATAACTTAGGCTACGTTTATTTTAATAAAAGTAGCCTAAGTTACTAAAAATAAACTTAAATTCCACGCGGAAGAAGTCTCGGGTATAGCTACTAAACTTGATATATCTAATGTATTATAATAATTAATATAAACCAATAACGTTGTATATTAATAATAGTATATTAGTTTAAAATACTTTTAATTAGCTCTCTCTCACAATGCTTTTAACACTATTTATCACCATTTAAATGTTTCGCTAATAAGACATTCAGCGGATGTCACATGAAATTCATGAATCATTACTATTGGGCGACAACTTTACTCGCGACATCGCTCGCTTTTTGTAATAACATTACACACTACTAATACTACAATCTTTCTGCTTGTTATTGTGTCTATACATGTAAATAAAATTGGAGTGTCTGTTTGTAATATTGAAATAACCGTTTTTACTACATGCATATGAATATAAATACGGTGCTTACACCAAAATAACGTTTTATACAATTTTTGTGTCTGTCTGTCTGTTTGTTCCGGGTAATGTCTGAAATGGCTGAACCGATTTTGACGGGACTTTTTTTGGCAGATAGCTGATGCAATAAGGAGTAACTTAGGCTACTTTTACTTTAGAAAATTAAAGTTAAATTCTACGCGGACGAAATCGCGTGTACAGCTAGTAATTTATTAAAAAAAAAAAAAAAAAAATCTATTCAAAAGAGCAGTACATTAATTTCTACTATTCTTCTATGATGAATCTGCGCTATATTGTATGTATGTATATATATTATATATTTTTTATTCTACCACTCACTATTCATTTCATTTACTCATTATTCATACTACTATTCAAAAGTGCTTGTACTGAGTTTATTTAAATAACGATTATTTTTATTTACTACTAGCTGTTCCCGCGACTTAATCCGCGTTGAATTTAACTAATATTTCCAATATAGAAGATTTTTTTTTCAATAAAAGTAGCCTAAGTTATTACATCAGCTACCTGCCAAAGATTCCCGTCAAAATCGGTCCAGCCATTTCAGAGATTAGCCGGAACAAACAGACAGACAGACACAAAAATTGTAAAAAATGTTATTTTGGTGTATGCACTGTATTTATAATAATGCATGTAGTAAAAACGGTTATTTCAATATTACAAACAGACACTCCAATTTTATTTACATGTATAGATTTCTATTTCTGCTTTAAAATTTTTTTTTTTAATTGATTGCTACTCACTACATTGTAGAATCACCTTCCAGCAATGGTATTTCCGAACTGATGTACATACATATAACTAGAACTAGACATATAAATTTATAAATTTATTTTTCTTTTACGTGAAAATGTAACAAGCATATTTTATCTATTGTAGAGATCACTCACGGAGGTGTACATTCTACCTAACCCGCATGATGTTGACTTAATGATGCAATATTTTCTTGAAAGTTATGAAAATGTGTACATATTTAAAGATGATCTCAATGGTACACAAAAAATACATGAAATTTATGATTTGATGTATCGGGCGCCTATGCTTGGGATGTCCCATAAAATATTATGTGTAATATTAGTAATTACAATAAAATTATTACTATTAACTTGCACAATTCAAAGATCTGTACACATGAATATGTCAATAAATATATATATTTATTAGCTTTTGCCCGCGGCTTCGCTCGCATTAATTTATCCCCTTAGAGGTGGAATTTATCAAAATCCTTTCATAGGGGATGCCTACGTCATTGTATCATTGTAGGTTTATGCATGCAAAGTCTCAGCCCGAAAAGTTTAAAATTGACAAAATTTCATATAAACTTTCATCCCCTATTTTATCCCTTTGGGGATAGAATTAATCAAAATCCTTTCTTAGCGGATGCCTACGTCATAACATCTACCTGCATGCCAAATTTCAGCCCGATCCGTCCAGTGGTTTGGGCTGGGCGCTGATAGATCACAACAAAATTTATCAACCAATTTAAACAAAAATTAACAACCAATAACAAAAAGTATTTAAAATAACATTTTTTTTATAGTAGGACCTTTTTTCCGTAGACTGAAAGTACATGCTCTTTTGTAATTTTTTTTTTAAATAATATTGTATAACATTAAAATTTAAAACGGTACATTTACAAATAATTCATTTATTGAAATCTAAGTGCAATTTTCCTCAATTATTGCATTAATACTTGCTTTTCAGGAAGATAACTGGCATTATTTATCACAGTTATTATGTCTCGTTTTAACCACAATAATGTTGATTTATGTATTTATTTAATACTAGCTGTGCCTGCGGTTTAAGCTTCTTGAAATTTATATCCTGTTTTATTCTGATGTATAAGCTAGTATAAGCTGTATAAGCTGTCTTGTTATCACGATTATTATTATTAATAAATCTATTGCATACGTTTATTCCTTCGTGAGTGCATTGGTATTGTACTGTAGTATTCACTGAGAGCATGTAATTTTATAAATAATATAAATTACTATAAAGTTTCATCAATATCTGTTCAGTAATTTTTGCCCGAAAGAGTAACAAACATCCATACTAACAAGCTTTCGCGTTTATAATAAATTTTTGATTATTTGGTCAAGGTCACTATTTTACTCGGACGAAGTCGCTAGTGTTAAATCTGTTCAGTAATTTTTGCCCGAAAGAGTAACAAACTGAATTTTCATTTAATGTTAGACATAGACACCTATATAAATATACATTGTACATAAACTGGCTTTAAAAAAAAAAGTAATTCAATTGAGTTTCTTGCCAGTTCTTCTCAATTGGATCTATATACCGAACTGGACGGTAGGGAAAAAAATAAAATTATAATATAAAAATTTGACGTTCATAAGCGGCTAAAATGTCCTACATGAATAAATGATTTTTTGAATTTTGAAACGTCCATCCATACTAACAAGCTTTCGCGTTTATAATAAATTTTTGATTATTTGGTCAAGGTCACTTTTTTCTCGGACGAAGTCTAGTGTTCTATAATTATAATATTAT